ACCTGTCTGTCGGCAACTAAAAATAAAAACATAACCAGCAAGCCATAGCAGATGTTTTATACCCAAAATTAATGGATAATTTTTCAAATCGGAGTATCCGATTGTAGAACATAATCCTTAACATTATCGAGGAAAAAAAATAGTGCACTGCTGATAGACGTGCTGTCAAGGAAAGAATACCTCCCAAGAATTACCTGTGTTGAGGTAACATAGTTCAGCCTAAAGACGTTTAGGTCTGCGAGTTTAGTGGTAAGCTTTTGATTTTTATTCTTATTCAAATGACAGTCTGTATTGTTTTAAAGTTCACAGCATGTTATTAGAAGCAGTAATGGGGGAGTCCATTCCTTAGCTGATGTGAGACTGAGAACACTTTACTCAACTTGTGATGACACTAACTGTTGACAGTATGGGGACAGTGAAGTTTTAGAAGTGGATCAGTCTGGAACATTAATCCTACTAAAGGACTGGCTAGCTCTGTGTACACAGTTTAGGCATTTAAAAATGAGGGTCAGTAAAATCCTCAAGTCATATAAAGTAAATGTATGTTTTTTCATTGATTTATTTAAAAGACACCGACAATTTAGAACAATGAAAACACTTTTTTTTTAAACCGAGTGAAAAGCTTGCAAGAGATTTCTGTGCAGCTTTTGAATGAATTAAGTTTTGTTTAACCAAATTGTTTAAAAAAGTCAGCCTGCACTCACTCAATGGTTCTTTTCCGTTTGAACTGCTTACCAATGGTGTTCAACTTATTACTTTATGGAAGTCAAACAAATCACAGTGGTAGATTCTGATGAGTAGTACACATGACAGTAGCTTTTTAAAATGTTTTTTTTTTTTATGGTGGAGCTATGTAATCATGTTAAACACTACTACAGTATTACTAATGTCCTGTAGTAGATTTGAAAGTTAGAATAGTCTAGATAAAACTGAAAGTATAAAAAGGTTTTAATTTAGCAAAAAAAAGTTTGAATACTGTAGTTTTTTTGTTTCTTGTAGCTTTATATAGTCAACCTTATAATACCTGTTCTGTACTGAAGCACCTTGAGAAAGTCCAGTGTATAATAAAAAGTCTAGAATGTAATTAATTGTATTGGTAAATTAAATTAACTGAAGCTTTGTAGCAGAAACCAAAAGACTTAACAGATTTTATTTAAGGAGTTAATGCAGACACCCAGACTTTGTAAACAGGCAGTTAGGTTGGACACCCGTGTTACAGAAAGCAGCCAGTCCTTGTCCTGGAGGACCAGTGTGTCTGAGGGCTTTCATTCCAGCATGACACTTAATGAGCTAAATTGTCTGGCTACTGGCTTAAGTGGACCAATTTAGCAGCTTCTTCAACCTCTTCAGAAGCTGCTGCTTTAAAGAGACCTGGAAAACCTGCAATGACACTAGCCCTCCAGGACCATGATTGGACTGCCCTGCCTAGGGCCTTTGATCCCTGATAACTTTGATCATATGATCAGGCCACATGAGAGATTTCTACTCATCTATGATGGTTTCTCTGCAAAAAGATTTTTTCATATTTTGTTACAGATTACTTTAAAAATCATCACATTGAGGGATTGCCTGTTCTGTTCTGACTTCTCAGTTTAATCATGGGGTTGGAGATAGTTACAGCAGGGGGAGATCCATTTCATATAAATTTACAGTATAGCAAAGTAGACATTTCATTATTTTTCCCAAAGCTTATTTTAGTATCTTTTAATACTAAAGATAGTATGTAGCCACATAAATGAAATTACTGCTACATACTTTTTTCTCCTTTGTAACCTGAAGGAACATTTTCTCTGGTATAGCCATTAAATATCCATGCTTGAAAATACTTCTTTCTCAGTAGTGACACATTTGCTGTGCTGAATTTATGAGGCCTTTGGTTGTACCTTCCATTTCTTTTTCCTGTCTGCAATGAAACTCCCAAGCGGTTTCACCAGTTTCAGTGTCCTCGGTTCACCCTGAGCTTCTCTTCCACTTGCTTTGTTTTGAGTTGGAGAAATGTTTTATAGCTCTTCTTTGAACTGGATCAGTATTCTTTCCCTGGGGTATGGGCTATGTTTTTGTATTTGTGGCATATTTGGTGGCATATCCTAAATTACAGGCTGGAGTTTAATAATTCTCATGCTAACCTGCTTAATACCATTATGAACAAGAAATGCCAACACTAAAAATGATTTTAAAATAGTGCATACCCTCAATATCCTAATCATTTGTTATTTTTTAAATATTTATAAGAACATGCCTGAATATCCTATGTGCTGTGCTATAGAAAGACTGACAAATCAGCTGAATTGAGCAGGTTAAAATATTTTGTTCCATGGTGCAAGGAAATGTCTGTAGTACAAATGAAAATGATGTGCCCACATTAGCATTATCTATCCTGTGGAAAAGTCATAAAAACGAAGCTGTTCAGATATATAGATAAAGGGTGGATTTCAGTCAAGGGATGGTCCAATAGTATAATAAATAAGATGGGAAAACTTCATTTGGAATATTGTGTACAATTGTAGTCACCGTAATTAAAAAAAAACATTTTAAGAATACAAATCTAGGATCAATTCAGAAAAAAGCAACCAGATACACTCTAAATGTTTTAAGTCTTGAACTGAGAGGACCCAATTCAAGATTTTAGATTGCTTGGTGGCTTTGGTGATGTCAACACAGTGGACTTCTTTAGAATCAACAAGCAAACACAACCCATATGTTGGACAAAGAAAACTGTGGACATGCATTTTAAATGGAGAACAAAGGTTATTTACATAAAGCCTTGTGAGAGTGTGGAAAAAGCTACTGTTATAAGTAGCATGTTGTTGAGACAGATACCCAGTAAGAAAGAAGCTAGGGTGAGATCCTTTTCTGAAAATGTGAATGTTCTTGTGTGCTCGTGCCTAGTTGTTGTCCTAAAAAAAGATTTTTCCTGCCATGTCCACGATTTGAAATTTCCATTAACCTTAATGTCTGCTAGGGGACCTTGTAATGTCTTCTGTTGTGTTGTTAAGAGTCTTTAACTGAGGCAGCAGGGTGTTATAATGTTTGTACATTAATGTATACAGGACATTTTTTTCCTGTTCATTTCCACAGCAATCACATAAGCTGTTTGTGTATCATGTATGTGTGTGAGGAGAGGCTTGTCGGGGGATGGGTTGTCACCAAGGCTCCCTACATTTCATGTTGCTTAGCAACCGTAATGCACAGATTTGTGGGAACATCTGCTGTATCCAACCTTGCCAAATTTGTGTCGTATAGTAAACATTGCTTCACGCTTGGGTCTCCAATGAGAAGATTGCAGTTGCTTTATATTTATAGTCATGTTCTTTGCCCTTTTGTCAGAATTTACAAGAAGTTAAGCTTTTGTTTTTACTTGTTTTTTTTCCACAGTTCTATGAAATAGCTGTAGTCCTTCAGATGACCTTCTATCACATCTGTATTTCAATGATTTTCTGTCACCTCAATGTCATGCATAAGTTTTTGTTTTTTTCCCCTGTTTTAATAATCTTTAGTCTTTGATTTTGTTACAAAATTGATTTTACAACGCAAGTGTTAAGTGAATATACAAAATTTTGTTTGTGTGTAAGGTGACCATGGTTCATTCAGATCTTAAGTTTAACTTGTCTGCTTTCAAACTGTAAAAAAACTGTAAAAATTGGACAGTTTGGGTAATGAAATCATTTTAGATGCCATGTATGAAAGGACTATTGAAAAATTATACTCTTTAGCAGCAACTGTACGTTTTTAGATTTAAACTGCTCTGTAAAACTACTTAGAGTAAAACGTAAAAATTCAAGCATTCAAGCCTAAAAAAGCCCTTGCAGTGTAATGCAAAATGTTCATATACTGGGAAATGTGCTTTATAAACCTATTTTAGCAGAACAGTTTGCAATCTTATATAATGGGTGATAGAATTTGATTAAATTCGATTTTTTTTATGTGAAATTTTAATAATTAGTCTGTTTCTTTATTAATGTCAAGTTAATCCAAAGTTATTATGCTTGTACATGTTCTTCTTTCAGAGTGGCTTATATAGAACAGGCTGCGCTGTTGTGGTATCTGTCATATTGAACCTTTTTGTTACGTGATCAGGGAAAGATTTCTTCTGAGTTTGTGTACAACACTGGGTTCACAATACCCTGCTATGTATTCCATATAAACTAAAGGTGGACTAAAATAGCGGGCTTCATAAAGAGAAAGTTGACCTCTGTGCGATCAGAATTGGTTCTGATCATGTTGTGACAGTCAAGGGATACAAATAGAGCTTTCAGGATGACATTTGCAGTCACAGTTTTACTTATTTATTATAGCAGTGTACCCTTGGCAGTACTTAAAAGGGTTCAATAGCTATTTTAGCACTGTGGGAGACATCTCAAAGCTCCTATTTTTACTCTCAAAGCTTGATGCCTGTATTGAACATGCATGTGGCGTTGGCCTTACGACAGCAGTGTCCCTTTGATCATGGTTATATTCTGAGATGAACACAATCCTGAGGAGCAGTATAAACAAATCAAAGCAGAGAGAACCTTTCTCCACGTCACAGGATATTTTACACTCTTCTCCTGCCAGCAGGGTACATTTGGTGTTTGGGAATGCAGTAATCATCATGGCTCAAGAGAAAGTGCCAAGCCCCTGGTCTTAAAACAATGAAAGTATTAAAAACGGTGATGGCATTAGTCTTTTGATGTATGTGTGGTTTCCAAAAGCTCATATTTCCACTTAAAATTGATATGCTTTAAAATCTTGTTGCTCACTTCAGATTTGCACCTTATCAGATGGATTGTACATCACATGAAAGTTTCTTACCTGAAGAATATCAATTGGTTATTGTTCTTAATTGAATCTGTCTGAAAAACTAAAAGACACCACACAAAACTGCCCCCCCCCCCCACAAGTGAACAGAACTTATCCCGTCGCGTAATATTTCAAATGCAGCAAAAGCTTCGTGGATTGCGGTGCCAAACTTTCATTGGAATGCTTCTAAGTTTGCCTCAACCTTCAAACCCCCCCCTCAGGGCCGGGCCGTGGGGAGGCTGAGATCCGAGAGTGCATCTTCTACAATGCCAACTGGGAGTTTGATAAGACGAATCAGAGCGGCGTGGAGCGCTGCGAGGGGGAGAAGGACAAGCGGCTCCACTGCTATGCTTCCTGGCGCAATAACTCGGGCACCATCGAGCTGGTGAAGAAGGGCTGCTGGCTGGACGACTTCAACTGCTATGACAGGTCAGCATAGGTTTCTCAGTGACTTTGAACTGCCTTTTGTTTTTTGCAATCGAGCAAGCGCTTAGTATTTGTAAACCTTAAATGGGAAATGTTTCTGTGATGGTGATTTGTTCCAACATACTAAGCTTTTCAATACTGAACGTCAGGTGAATGTAAAGGTCTTCATCTCTACTTCTGTTCTTGTGCAAATAATTATAATATAATTGTAATTGTATTAATTGACTAGCTTTAAAAGAGCCTGTGTGCCTTTTTGAATAAAAAGACTGCTGTACTTCAGACATGAAGAAAGTTTGTTTCTTCTGTTCAGTCAGTGAGTCATTTCTATTTTTGTCCATCCAAATTAGAGACCCTGAAACTTAAACTTCAGGTGCAGGACAGAATCCCTGTTTGTAATAACTTGTCTTACTTGGCCACTTTCTGCAGAGCAATTCTGTAGAACAATTTTAAGAATTTCCTAGCTTGATTCTTTCCACGTTTTCCCTGCAGCACATGACCAATTTTGTATTGCCACTGAAGTTTCCCGGTCATAGAAGCCAGGTAGTACAAACTGGATTTTAGCAGGATCTTTCCAGTTTAGAGAACGTGACCTGCATTTCACATAGAGACTTCTATTTGAGGTGTCATTAGAAGAAATCCTGCATTATTTGACATCAAAGACAAGTGGTGTTAAAGTATAGGTGGTTATTTTAATCACTATGACTGTAGCAGGGGTAATGGATTTACAATTGCTCGCAGTGCATTTGTAATTCAGAAAATGGTTTTGCATATTCAAAATAACTTTTTTTAAAACTGGTTGGTCCATTATGGATTATGGTTCATTTTCTTAAACTGGCACGAATCAGTCTTAAAGTGACTGCAGGCTCCTATGCAAGTAGCAAATCCTCCTATAGATTTTGTGACTTTTCAGACAGAGGTGTTCTGTACTCAGGATCAGAATAAGCCCAAAAAAGCCGTTGTATCCAATTCAAAAATGCCGTCTCATGGCGAGCTGCTGTAGAATTTTGCAGTCACTTGTCAATACAGAAAGCTAGGTGTCAAAACTCTTACGCTTAGTTTCTCCATCACCTGTCATTCTGTGCAGGCTTGGTATGTTTCACTCAAAGCTATATCAGTTGTTTGATGTGTTTTTGTACCCTGACAGACAAGAGTGTGTAGCCACAGAGGAAAACCCCCAAGTCTTTTTCTGCTGCTGCGAGGGAAACTACTGCAATGAAAAATTTACCCATTTACCTGGTGTGACTACACCAAGTGGTGAGAATTTATTTTTTAACCATTTAATAAATATCTGTTAGACACGTATTTAAAGCTGCACTGTTCCATGAATGGTATTATTGTGCAAAATCCAACAAATTGCTAGTCTGCTATATTTAGCATGCTGTTGCTATAGGATTTCAAAGCTGTTACAATTCGTGGTAACAAATGTAGTGTATTTTTAATACTAGTAGAACAGATGCCAGTAAATCTAATTTAAATTGAATTGGATGTTTGTTGAAATTTAAATCTAACTGCAGTAAAATGTTTCTGCCCATCTTTGCACACAATGAGATGTGACTTCAGATGCTTTGCATAATAAACGTACATAGGCAGTGTTTGATTAGAAAGGCGGAATTTTGCCTTTCCAGTCAGAGCTTGAATAGCATCTAATACCTTACTGCAGGAAGTAAGCGAAATATTTCCTGTCTTTTATCAGCATTGATCTCTATTAAGGTCAGTTTCATATTAAACTCGTTCATTAATTTCTCCACATTGTTGCTTTTTTAAGTATCATTGCGTTATTTATGATGCGTAGCCAGAGACCTGTGCAAGATCCATCTGCAACATCTATGTCAAGCTGGGCCTGCATCTGCAGAGCTCTTTTACAGATGAGGTTTAATGATAATAGATTTCATCCTCTTCTTTAAATACCTTTACAGGTATTCAGCAAACACTTATCTGCTGTTAATTTTTCAATCAGTCCCCAGTATGAAATAGACATACGAAAGGTTACAACTATTTAGCATATTTAGTTAGTTTGTTAGTAGCCGATTGATCCCAGGATGTCATTCAGCTAGCTCTTAAAATAAGCTAGGATATAGGCTTCAACAACATGGGTGAGGAAGCTTGTTTCATATTCCTCCAACTCTTTAGGTAAAAAATAAAAGTGCCTTCTGTTCTTATTTTTAAATGCACATCCATAGAGTTTGTCCACTTATAGTGTTTAAGGTGAAAAATGTTTTTCTTTAGCAAGTCATTTTAGTTGAATACCACAATTAATTTTTTTTCAAATGTGTGCAGCAGGGGTAATTATATTCTTCTATTATAAGATTATATTATAATCTATTATATCCCTGGACCTAGGCAAAAACACTTCTCTTACTTATGGCTTGAAGCAGTGCTCATTTCGTTTTGGGATCAGGTGCCCCTTAAGCAGTTTAGTTGCCCTTTTGTTGCATTTTCTGCTGAAATATTGATCTGTACTTTCATAAGGAAGTTGCTTCTGCCTTTTGTTTTCCGACTGTACTGAGCGCAAGGTGATTTTTGATTTTTGTATGTGTGCATGTTGCAGTCAACATTGAGCCCCCTCCTCCGACACCTTCATTAATCAACATCCTGGTGTACTCGCTGCTTCCCATTACTGTCCTGTCCATGGCCATGCTGCTTGCCTTCTGGATGTACCGTCACCGCAAACCTCCATATGGCCACGTCGACATCAATGAGGTGAGTAAAGGGATGAGACGTTTCCCCAGAACATATCTGTGAGCATGCAAACTTTAATCATCATTTGGTTGGCGGCCATCTCTTCTCATTCTTGGATTTGTGATCATCTCTTTCGTGGCTGCCTGAATCCATCTTCGCAACACCACCGCCAAACCATCAGCGCAGCCAGAAATATTTCTGGGAAGGAATCGGGCTTGTGCGCCTCTGTTATCTTTGCCTGGGTTTACTTTTAATTCTCGACAAATGTTTCCACTAACAGTCTCCTGGATTAGAATATTTTTTTACAGTGTCTCTCATGACAATAGTAACGTTGTAATAATAATAATTTATATAGCGCTTTTCTGGACACACCACTCAAAGCGCTTCACAGGTAATGGGGACTCTCCTCCACCACCACCAATGTGCAGCCCCACCTGGATGATGTGATGTGTGCCAGTGTGCCAGAACGCTCACCACACATCAACTATTAGTGGGGAGGAAAGCAGAGTAAAGTAGCCAATTCATAGAGGGGGATTGTCCAGGACGCCGGAGAAACGCCCTGGGATTTTTAATGACCACAGAGAGTCAGGACCTCGGTTTATTGTCTCATCTGAAGGGTGGCGCCTGTTTACAGTATAGTGTTCCCGTCACTATACTGGGGCATTATGACCCACATGGACTGCAGGGTGAGCGCCCCCTGCTGGCCCCACTAACACCTCTTCCAGCAGCAACCTTAGTTTTTCCCAGGAGGTCTCCCATCCAGGTACTGACCAGGCTCATACCTGCTTAGCTTCAGTGGGTTGGCAGTTGTGAGTTGCAGGGTGATATGGCTGCTGACATTTGTAAATGTATATTGTTTTTCTTGCTTTCAGCAGCTTTACCAGCGACTGTTGATTTTACTTCAAGGCTATCCTGATACCACGTTCTGTCTTGATGTCTTGAAATCCCTGGAGATTTTTTTGCTGTGGCCTAATTTGTATGAATATTTTCTTGCATTGCTTATGAAAACCGTAAGGACTGATAAACTAATGTCTTATCAGGTGTCCTGAATATTTGGAAACACAAAAGCATTAAACATCTTTGATGGAGATAAGGTAGCTGACAAAATGCTTATTGTTTAACAGAGTAAAACCAGATTGTGCCAGGGCCTGTATGGTAGTATCATTGCAAGTCAGGGAGTTGTCCAGCTTCTGTTCAGCAAATACTGAGACTTGTAATGCCTATGCTTATATCTGTGTGAGTCTATAAGTCTCCTTTCCCTGTTTTACTTACCAGGATCCTGGTCCCCCTCCGCCTTCACCTCTTGTAGGCCTCAAACCACTACAGTTACTGGAAATTAAAGCTAGGGGGCGCTTTGGCTGTGTCTGGAAGGCACAGTTAATGAATGAATATGTAGCGGTGAAGATATTCCCAATTCAAGTAAGTAATTAACATTATTTACTTAGCTCATGTATTAATGTTTATGGCATGAATTAAATAATGTCTGTTTGAGGTGTTTCAGATTTTTTTTAAAGTTAATTTTTTCAATTTTTGACAGTTTTTCAGAATTTTACTGTCTGTGCTATTGTTTTCCATTGTGAAATTAGATTGTAGAATTTGGGAATGGTTTTAATATGGAGTAGTACTTTTAAGAAATGTTAGGAAAAAAACATTTTTAATCGAGCATTAAACTTTTTTTGGGGGGTGAGCACATGTGAAAGAGCCACGGTCATGAAATCCTAAAAAGTGACCAGAAATTCCTCCTTTTTCTAAAGGATAAGCAGTCCTGGCAGAATGAGCGTGACATCTTCATAACTCCTGGAATGAAGCATGAGAATCTGCTGCGCTACATTGCAGCAGAGAAACGAGGTACCAACCTGGAGATGGAGCTGTGGCTGATCACAGAGTTTCACGAAAAGGTAAAGAATGTGTTCTTTCACTATCTGTTCTCTGGCAAGTGACTGTGGAGACATTCTCATCTGTGAAACAGAAACACTGCATAATAAAGGACATTAAGACTGTGAAGCATTTATCTTTGCCAAGGTAAAGGAAGCTTAAGGAATGTGATTTTTTCCAGCGTTTTTTCGATTTAATGAGTTGTAGCATATGCTTAAAGCAACTTTTAAAGCAACTAACTTTTGACAGTCTAGCTGTGAGGTCGCCAAAAATGTCAAGAGTTTTTCAAGCGTGGCCTTTCCCAAAATTTTTATATACCCAGGGCACTACTTAATTAATGCTGAAAATCCCAGAAGAATACAATTGGATGGCACAGTAAAATTGCTAGAAAAAAATTAACATGAGGCTACACCTCGCCTCCTCTTTCCTGGAATTTCACAGTTAGATCACAAGTGTAAGTCAGGTGCTGCACTAAAGTAAAAAGACACAAAAATGCCAGATGGGAAGAAGAGACTAACCTGATGTCAAAGGGAACATGCCAGCTGATGGTTTTCCTTTCATATAATCAAAGCACTGTGAGTAGTGAGGCATAGCTTATTTTGAATTTATCAAGATATTTTCAGGTATCAAGTATTTTTGTGGAAACACTGTATCTGAGTTTTAAGCAAGGCATAATGTTAAAAACATTTCTATCATGTGTCCTTCTTTTGCTTATTGCTAATAGACCTCGCCATGATTTCATTTAATTTGTGTTGAGGAGTAATTATTGTCAAGTGCTTAAGGTTATACAAAATAATTTTATAGTGTTTTGTCGTTTAAGTCCATTTTATTTGCAGTCTAGTGGTTTAAAAAATACTTTTTAGTCTGGTAAATCACTGATAAAGATGTGATTACTTTTTTTCTTTTTTGCTTTGCAAGTATCTGAGCTGCAATTTTATTCATATTCTTGCTGCAGATATGTAGGGCACGTGTAATATTGTCTTAGAAGTTTGAATGGTTTGGGTGGGTAGCTAATTCAAATTTTATCATCATTATATCAAAAGATGTGGTTTTGTGTTAAAACTTAATTCTGCAAAATGAATGCGATCAAATAGTAATGCTTGTCTTTGGAAGGATGGCACTGCTTATTCTGTGTAATATCCAGCCATGTTGTTACACCCTGTCTGACTTCAAGAAATGGCTGGATGAGATCCTTGGATCAATTAGCTACAGGCTAGATTAGCTGATTGAATGTAAGGAAGGGTTCGACGGAATTAAAGAAAAATCGCATTGCAGTGTTTTTTTTTTTTACTTGTCCACAAATTCAAATGACGCCACTTGAAAAAGTAAAGGAAGAGGTTTGAATTTCTGCATTCTACTTTTGTATACATTCCACATGCTTTTTGTGTGGTTGTACAATTGAAAGGTATTCCTTGCAGTGCTTATTTAGTATTTGCTAGCATTTAACTGCCAAGAATTTGTTAACCTTAACATTGCAGTTTATTGCTGGCCATTTTACTGACTGATTTGGGAATCAATCGGATGCACTTATCTAATTAAATAACTATGCTACAGCATGTACTTGCAGGAAGAACATAAACAGTCTAAATTGAAGCTGCCTCTCAGTTGGCTTTTAAGGTACCTATAACCACTCTGGAAAAGGTGATATTCTTAGTGACTGTTGGAAAAGAAACAACTAATGAAGTCTCAGAGGTGGTAATACTCAAGCTCTGAAATGAAGAAAAAAACTGAGCCCTGGCAAGCTGGGTGATTATGGTGCAGGTTTTAGTGATGCCTGGGTTTAACAAATCACAGCCGAGGGAGCCTACTGTGTCGTGACCGCTGATTAAAGAAGAGAGTTTTCATAGGAGAAGTGTGAACCACATTCCAAACAAGTTTTTTTTATAGTTCCTATACTGTGTTGATATATATTGACTTAAACTGATATACTGAAAGTCAAGAACTATAAATGTTTGTATTTGAGGGGGACTATGGAGTTTGCAAACATATGAAAATAACACTGTTCCAGTTTCTAAGTTAGCCTTCAAATTAGTAACCTAAACCTTTTCCATTTGAGGCCTGCCTCCACTTGAGAAAACACACTTTTGTGGCAGCCCTGGACCAGATAAAATCGCAGATCTCTGCACCAGACGACTGCTTAATCCTTCCAGACTGACCTTGGAAGTGGCAAGGTTATAAATTCAGGAAAAGTAGATGCTCAAGAAAAACATGAACATCCCCAGACCACAAAGTTCTGGGGAAAGGAAAAGTAGGTTATGTCTTGTGTTTATTTAATGATCATGATGTTTTTGTTTTCAATCTATGCACAGGGCTCCCTGACTGATTACCTGAAAGGAAACATCGTGAGCTGGAATGAGCTGTGTCACATTGCGGAGACGATGGCCCGTGGCCTGGCCTATCTGCACGAGGATGTGCCTCGGTACAAGGGCGAAGGGCCCAAGCCTGCCATTGCCCACAGGTAAGATCACCAGCCTGCTGCACATAGTGCTGTAGAACAGATCAAGGGTTTAAACTTTTTTTTTCTACATAATCCTATAAAGCACCTGGGAGACGTTCAATTAATTTCAAATTAAGATGAAAATGATTAATATAGAAGTGATTAATTGTATGACAGATCATGTTAATGGCAGCACATGGAGAGGTGGATGTTAGAAATGTACCAATTTTAATGGTTCTTCAGGGCTCACATTTGGTTATAGTGCATATGAAGCAGATAATGTGATTGCAGAACTTTCAGTAAGCAAGTTTCTATACTGATTTTTTTATGGATGACACTGCCCTCCAGTGGGAGAACTTTGTACTGTTTTTTTCCCTATTATGGAGTTTAATATACCTGCATAAGAATATCCAAGAATCATAAGAGAGTTTAAAATTAACAGTTTGCACCCAACCTTTTGGGAGATGCCTTTGAATTATCTGTTCATTAAAGATGTGCAGTTTTTTCTGGCTAGTGTTGCAGTTTGTCCTTTTGACAAACAGACCTTTTGAAAGACAAATTCTCAGTGTTGTGAAAAGTGCTCCTTTCTCCCAGATATACACCTGTTCCACTTTCCCACTGTCCTGTCTGAGCAGTTTCATATTAAATGTCATTATGAACTAGAAAAATTCTGTGAAAAATGTAAGAATTGAGTGTTTTATCCACACTTTTCTGCCAGTCTCTTCAGTCATTACAACAGTCTGTAGTTGTATCTGTCCTCATTGTGTATTGACTGCTGAGAAGTGATGTGACCTGTTTTTACTGAACCTTGCTGCCAGCTGTTAAACTATAAGCCTCCGATTTGCACATCTTACTCTCTGTACTACTGAACTTACTTAAAATGGGTTAAAAATGTCACATTTGAACTGCATGGTACAATTATTAAAAAACCTAAATGATGCATTTACATTTATATACTTCATAGCAATTATTTTTGTGGTTAAATGATTGCAAACTGGAGATGCTTAACTCCTCAGAAAAGTTAGCTAGTGCTTAAATCTATTTTTGCTTGGTAACCAAGCAGAACAGTTTATGCATAATACACTATCCATATTGGGCAAAAATCATATACTGAAATTACTGTTTCTCTTATGATGCATGGGTTCTGCTTTTACTTCACAACTGACATTCTTTTCTGGAACTTTGCAGGGACTTTAAAAGTAAGAATGTATTGCTTAAGCACGACCTGACAGCTATTATAGGAGACTTTGGACTTGCGGTTCGATTTGAGCCTGGGAAGCCACCAGGAGATACACATGGCCAGGTATGAAAAACGGCTTAACATGACTCTTGTTGATGTTCATGACCGGTAACCTGAAAGTTTGTTTGTTGGGGATTGTGGTTCATAGTTGCAGATTGATTGGAAAGTTCTCTTTTTATGCAGGTGGGGACGAGGAGATACATGGCACCTGAGGTGTTGGAGGGGGCCATTAACTTCCAGCGAGATGCCTTTCTGAGGATAGATATGTATGCCATGGGCCTGGTGCTGTGGGAACTGGTAACGCGATGCAAAGCTGCTGATGGTAAGCAATAGGGACCTTCCAAAGAATTATTGATCTCAGTTTAACTTCAAAAGTTGTTGTGCTGAAAATGACTAAATTCAGTGGGTCCTACTGTTATATGCATAGATAG